GGCACATCTCTGTCTTGGTCACTTTGTGACCAGGGAACAAATAGGTAAAAGGCTCATTCGCTGACCCTGTGGGTTTGGATGGATTAATAAAAGAGGTTGAGGGGCCTTGAATGCTGATTTCCCTACACCACCCTGCCTCTTGTCTTTCTGTGGTTCCCACTCCTTCTCAGGACCAATTAGGACCTAGCCCCAGGGGAACTGGAGACTAGAAGGAGCAGGTGAAAATGAAGCCCTCGCTCCCTCCTCCTCCCTCCTTCCCTCCATTCCTTCATCCTTGCCCAGTCTTCCACAAATCCCAGGCCGGGCAGCCACAGTCAGCATTCAAGGCCCCTATTGCCTCTTTCACAGGTGAGGAGCCCAAATCCACAAGGTCAACAAACAGGCCTCTTCCTTTCTTCCACAACAAGCAGCATGGGGCTCACCTTCAAGTTCTCCCTGGGCCTGGAATGGCCTTGTCCCAGCCTCCAGGGCTTCAGGAATGTCCCTAGCCCAGTGCCCTGAGAACCCTTTGGTGTTGACTATCCAGAGTGTTTCGCCAAGGCTCCTTTGTTATTTTTCGTTCTTTTATTGATCTGCCAGCCAGCACATTCATCCACCCATTCATTCATTCAATAAATACTCAACAAGTTGGCTGCTGTGTTTGATGCTTCAAATGTAGGAATGAACAGGAGACAGGTAGGTTGTCTGTCCCTATCTGCAGACTTGCAGACGTGAGAGACTTGTCACTCAGAGGCAAGGTCTGTATCCCTCTCTGCCCTCCTTGCCCCATCCCTGCCCAGCTCAGACCCAGTTCACTTAGGGCAAGCTGGAGGGGCACTATGATGCTATGTGGGGTAGGACTTGGTGCCAGAGTGAGGCTGGAGGGAGGCAGGGCAGCCTGGGGGCAGGGCCACAGGTCCATAGGTGGCTTGGTGAGGGGAGAACAGTTGGCAGCTTCCCAGCCTCTGCTTAATTCCCTGGGCAAACAGCAGCACTGGGAGGGCTGCCCATGGCTTGGGGCTTCAAAAGGCCCTGGGGGCGGGGTGGGCTGCTGGGGAGGGTGCAGCAGCAGCAGGCCCTCTCCAGTTCCTGGAACTCTTGCTGTCCTGGACTCAGCAGAGTTTTTGCCTTCCAAGGGGAAAGAGGGCCTGAGGCTCTGAAGGTGGGCCCTGCCCTTAGAACAGAGTGATGTGGCCTAAGGGGCAGGTGGGGCCCATCAGTGAAGGACTGCAGGGAACCTGAAGGTGCCAGCAGGGTGGCTTTAGGCCCTGTCTTCCGCCTGTGGTTACTGAATGTCCCATCTACCCCTCATCTCTCCTTGTCTCCTGGTCAACTCAGGCTGGTGGACTTCTGGGGGACCATGTCCTTCCAGCTAGTGTCTGTCCCTGCCCCTCTCCCCCACTCTGCTCCTGATGCACACAGGAAATGTTCAGGCCCCAGCTTGCCCACCTGTCGAGGTGGCTCTGACCTGTCCCACCTAGGAGCAGTAGAGCGAGATGGACACACATGCCCTGGGAGGAAGGCTGCGCCCCCAGGACTTCTATGTGCTATATTCCCTGCCCTGCTGCTTCCCAGTCAGCACATCCCCCGCATGAGTGGCCTCTCACAGCCCCCTCCCCTGCCCTACTTCTTCCCCTTCCATATCACCTGTGTTTTCCAACTCCTCACACAAGAATGTATCAGCAGGACCTGGGCCACTGTCCCACCCACTGTTAACAACGCCCATTTCCCCACCAGGACAGGCCCAGGCCTGCCCCCAAGGGGCCAGCCAGCTGCTCCCTGCCAGAGTCCAAATACACCTGTTTACCTTTGGGCCTCAGCCCAGGATGGAGTTGCTCCTGACTCCTGATCTCCCCACCCTCCCCCACTCCTCCATCACTTCCTGCCCCCCAGTTCTCCCTCTTCTTGTGCAAGGAAGCTGGGTCCCTGTTAACCTGGGGTTGGGGGTGGGCACTGATTCCTACTTAAGGTCTAGTTCTGCTCTGCAGGAGCTTTGACTCGTTTGGTCCAGGAAAACAAAATAAAGAGCAAGACTAGGGCTACTGGGGAGGGGGGACTAGGCTTTCAGACCTGAGAGTCATTGGACCCCAAGGTTGCTTGTCCTGTAGAACAGGAAATGCTCCGGGCAGGGAAGAGGAGGCCTTCAAGGTGCAAGCTCCTAGCCCTTCTTCTCCCCTTCTGCTGTGGAATTCCTGGGGGGACTCTTGGGGGAGGGAGGAAGGGGATAGGAGGTGGCTTACTCTTGATACATAAGAATGAAGTTGGTTCAGAACTGGTCATCTCATTCTGTAACCAGAGTTCTAGGCTAGAGGCCCAATTTCAAGGGTTCCACATGTCAAGTCCAGCCATTCACCCCAGTACACCAAGGGATGAGTAATGGTGAAGGGCAGGTAAAGGAGGTTTATTAGGTGTCATGGGCACACCAAGGACAGAGTAAAGTAAGCACTTCAGCCCGTCTTCTGGGCACAGACAGGAGCTTTAGATTAAAACAGAGGAAGAACAGGGTGAGGGAGAGAGGCATGCAAACCTGAACAGTCCCAGGCAAAGCATGGCCTGCTTGGTCATTATCTCAGCTCTGGTTCAGCTAGGGGATCCAGAGAAGTTATCACTGTCACCAGTTGAAGGGGGGCACTTTGGTCTCCAGGAGATGATTCCTCCTGCTCCAGGGTGCAGCCTCCTCATTACAGGTGGCTGCCCTCATTTGGGGATGGTCTGTCCTGTGATGGCTCTGCTGTTCCTTTCTTTGGGGGGGCAGTTTCTGTCCCTTGTTGTAAAGATGTTATTGATTGGTCCTGTCCTTTCTGGAACCCGAGGTGAGTGCAGGAGAGAGACTCAGAGCAAAAGAGACGGACACAACATGGAGGCAGAGATGCCAGGCTGTTCTCCTGCTTCTTCTAGTTAATTTGTGGATGCGGGTGAGGTCAGTGTGTTTTAGCAAAAGCAGTTTCTAATTATCTGTTTTAAACCTGCTCAGAGAACTTGGGTCATGAGATCAAAGCCACACTGCTCAAAAGAGGCAGGGCATAAAAGGCATGGGTGATTTTTGACTGTGATGCTGTCACAGAGAGGTGCTTTATTGGGGCAACTTGCACAGTTTGGACAGGTTCTGTTGACTGGATGGGATTATCAGGCCACTAATAAAGTCCTCATTCTGATGGCTTTACTAGGGTTACAGAGCTGCATCCTTGTATTAGGAAGATACTCACTGAAGTGTTTAGTGGCAATGAGGTGTCATGTTTGCAACTGGTGAATGATGTAAAGCATATTTTGGTTGGGATTATACTGAACCAATAAATTAAATGAATGAGGCAATTTTTTTTTTTAAGAAAAAGTCACCTTGCTGAGGGGCAGAGCAGGGATGCTGCTGTGTGCTGACTCGAAGACTTATGCTCCCCCACTCCAGAGCTGTATGCTGAAAGGGTCATGAAACGTTCTTCTGAGCCCCTTCTCTTGGGGCAGCACTGGTAGAATCTGGGGATTGCTAAGAAATGTACTGACGCTGGGGCCCACTAGAGATTCTGGTCTGATTGGCCGTGGTTCGGACTCATCATCAGGGTTTTCAGGAGTGCAGCCAAGGGCACACCTTGCTTTGCTCTGCTTTTTTGGCCTAGTGGTCATCCAGGGGGTGGTTCCGCTTGCCCCTGACATTGTCCCTCTTCCTCCCAACATGGGCCTGGAGCAGGCAGTGACATGCCCCACTGTCAATCCAGGATTTTCTCATCTTGGCCAGGGATGGAAACCCATCTTGGCAGTGAAGAAGGCTGGAGCCCCTTGTTCCCCTGATGCTGTGGTCCATGGAGAGGAATGGGGTAGAGAGAGAAGGGGAGGTGTCAGAGTGGAGGCTTTGCTGGGGAAGCCCCATCTATGTGATTTGTGCTGGGATGGGCTGGCTAGCTTCTGGACTCAGTAAGCCCCCTCCCTAACCCCACCCAATCCTGCAGTATGTGTGCTCTTCTGGAATATTTGTAATAATTAGCAAATGAAAGCAGCAAGTTTAGCTAGCAGAATGCCAGGTTGGCCTACAGCCAGACTTGAGGACAGAGAAAGAAAGAAACACGGGGAGAAAGGGGTTGGTGGGAAGCTGGGCAGGATGGCTCCAGCAACATTCCTCTCATTTGTACCTCTATGTGTGTGTGTGTGTGTGTGTACCTCTATGTGTGTGTCTGTGTGTACCTCTGTGTGTGCGTGTATGTTCATGTTCCATGCACATGTGCTCATGTGTGTATGATAGCTGTTCACAGGGAGGGGCTAAGCGTCAGAGAGGGTGTATGTGGGATTGGTTGGGGGCTGGATAGAGAAGTGGATCCCATGCAAACCTAGGGTGGGTGGGGGGATTGAAAGGTGTTGGTTCTTACCTAGGCACATGTTCTGTGCCTCAGTTTCTCCATCAGAACTCTGATAGTTTGGTCCCTTGCACTGGTCTCTGTCAGTGTGAGTGGGGGAAGAAGGTCTGAATACCCGGCTCCCACTTCCTGGTGGCCTTCCTCCTCCAGAAGCCTGCACTGGGCTGGGCCTGGTAAACATACCAGAGTGGGAAGTGGGGCCCTGGGGCTGGGGCCTTCTGACCTCACACCCTGTCACTCCAGGAGATGACCAAAGGAGGGAGGTGCTGGAAACAGGCCCAGGCCAGGGATGCAGACTTGGGCAGGCGAGTCTGGGCAGGCCCTCATGGTAGGGGATGTCGTGAATCTGGGCACACTGGCCTTTGTGAGTCCCTGGGGCCAGACAGGGTGTACCTCCTCACATGCCTCCTGCTCCCCCAGGGCTCTGGGCACAGCTCTTCCCATCACACAGACAGAAGCACTGAGGTCAAGGTTGCAGAGAACTTCCTGAGAGCAGCTTCTCAGTCCCTCCCTTGGGGACACTGAGGTTGTGGGGAGTTCACCATGGGTCCCTCTGCAGGCCCTCACTGCTCCCCCATCTTCTTCCAGGCCATTCTCCCTCAGCATCAAGAAGTGCTTCACCTCACCCCCCCAAAACAGACTCTTGCCTTTTCAGAAGAAAGCTCTGAAGACCATGTTGATTTTTCAAAATTTTATTTTTAAAAATTTTTTATTGTAAATAACTTTTCATGAAAAACGTTAAAGTTGCCCCATGTGGAGGGTGGATACAGGTGGCATCCTCAGGGATCAGGGTAGAGCGAGACCCCATCCCCCAAGTGCAGGCAGGGGCATGGGGCTGCCCCTTTCCTGGTCCTGGTGGTTCCAGCAAGCTGGGTGTCCCTCCCAGTTAAGTCTCAGCTACACTACACTCACTACATTAGTCTGTCGGTCCCCCCCACCTCCCTGCAGCTTGGCTACCCCTGCCCAACCCCCCCCAAAACCCCCAACTTCCTGCCAATCTTAAATCGGGGTCAAAGATAAGGGATTTGCATCCTCAGCCCCACCCCTGGGGATGCAGCCAGTTGAAGATCCCAGAAGCCCTAGAGAACATACTGCCCCCCTTGGCGCCCCCACCTCATTTCTGCCTCCTCTCTGCTCCCCTCCCCCAGTCCATCACCAGCCACGTTCCTCTCTACTACTGCAGCCCTGGCCCCAGGGGAGGTTCTGCCAGGAGAGGCCTCTAGGGGGTTAATTTGCTGTCACCTAATTAGCATTTGTTGTACTTGGGAACTTTCTCTGGATTGAGACCTGGGGAAGCAGGAGGGAGTGGGTGAGGTGGCAAAGCGAAGGTGCTCTAGGGAGGGCCCTGTTCTGTTCCTCCCCAGCCCGGCTGGGCTCCTCCAGCCCTCAGCTCGCAAGGTGCAGGGCCGTTTACCCTGTTCCTGGGGTGGAGACATGCGGGTGAATGAAACACTGTGTGTATGTGGGGGCTGATGGGGGAGGCAGCAATTCTGGTCCTGGACCCCAAGTTCTCAGCCTCCTGGGCTTGAATCTGAGGACATCCCAGGCTGGCAGCAGTGTGGTCTCATGAAGCCAGCCTCAGGAGACCTGGCCCAGCCCCTGCCTGGGAGGTGGGGTATCCATGGGCCTGTGTTGGGGGGCAGTCTGGGCCCTGAGTTGGGCACTGTCTGGAGGTGGGGCAGGGTCTGGCCTCTTACAAGAAGGCACCCACACTGGCCCAGTCCTGCAGGTCAGCGGCCAGAGTGGCATCCCCAGCCTCAAAGAGGGGCTCTGGGGGCAGGCAGCCACTACCACTCTCCTCCCATGGATGCTGTAGGAAGGATGTGGCCAGGAAGGTCTCGTCGAAGTCCAGGCTGTCAGCAGCCTGCTCCACTGGAGGACCCCAGGTAGCAGGGCAGTCGATGTGGTGGCCGTGGACCGTGAGGTCCACATCGCCATGTGAGGCAGGGCTCAGCGGTGGACTTAGCTCCAGGGCCTCCAGTGTGCTCAGCTCCCCGCCCAGAGTGCCAGCCTCGAAGATGGCCTCCCAGTCAAAGTTGCCTTTGAGGGGTTCCAGCTCACCCTGCTCCTCCTGGGTCAGCAGCAGGGTGCTGGAGGGCCGTAGGACCTTGGCCACCCGCTTGGGCAAGGGCTGTTTGCGCTTATGCCCGAGCCTGCCCTCGCCTGCCCCCCAGCCCGCCTCCCCTGTGGCCTCCTCAAACTCTTTCAGCAGCTGCTGGGCCTCGGTGTTCACCGTCAGTGGCCGGGCCCAGGGGGCAGTGCTGGGCTCCTGTGCGGCCTGGCGGGCAAAGGCAGGGTGGATGTGGACCGGGGGCAGCCGCCGCTTCTTGAAGGCCCCGCTCAGCAGCCGCTCAGCGTACTGGGGGTCGATGCGCCAGAAGCCCCCCTTGCCTGGTTCATCCTTCTCCCGAGGCACTTTGATGAAGCACTTGTTCAAGGACAGGTTGTGGCGGATGGAATTCTGGGCATCGGGAGAAAGCGAGAGAAAAAGAACTGTTAGACAGGGGACTATGGTAATGGAGTGGCACCCAGTGCTCCTGCAAGCTGTCCCCCCACCTTCTCTCCAACGGGGAGAAGACAGACCCGCTGCCCTGACCAGGCGGCTGCAGCTCTGGGACACCAGCCACAGGGCACCGGGAGCCTGGAGTGCTGTCGGGGGCTTTTGTTCTCTGTTGCTGGGATATCTGCCTGCTCAGTCATCCGAGCTTTGAGCTGCAGGGTGGCTCTCAGTGCCACCCCAGTCGCTTGCCCTCCCTCCCTTATCCTGTTGCTTGTGGTTCCTGGCCAAAGCCCTAGGCTCCCCCACGGCCTGGACTGCCATCTCCCTCTGCCTGGCTGGCGCTCTGTTTGTGAAGTGAGTGAATAGGTCAGGGGAGGGGGTTGGGTGACCAAGGGTTGTGTGTGTGTGTGTGCGTGTGTGTGTGCGCGTGTGCGTGTGCATGTGTAGGGATGTGGGGTGGGGGAGTCTGGTGACTCCTTGTTTGTTGAGACAGCTGCTGGCCTGCGCCTTCACCCCCCATAGCACTCTCTTCCAACCCCAGGCTCAGTTGATTATTACCCAGCCAAGAGCATAGGGCTCAGTAAATGACTGGGGGCCAGAGCTGCACAGGCCTAGGGGTGGGAGTATGTGGGGGTCTTCTAACCCAGAGCCTGGGTCATTTAGAATGATTTGGGACTTTGGGTTCTTTGGGTGCCCTGGTTAAGAGTGGGTATCCTTAGGCCTCTGCCTCCAACTAGCCCTGGATCCTGTTCATCAAAGACTCTGAGGGTCATGTCTGCTCAGCCTCAAACCCACCATCCTCCTGCCCTATGCGTTCTTAGGTGCTTAATTTTATCCAAACAATGCTGGAGGTCAGGGGTCCAGGCTGGGACAGCAGGGCAGGTGGGTGGACAGCACCCCCAGCAAGGCTGGCATGTTTACACCGTGGCCTGGGCCCCTTGGCTGCTCTGTGCCAGGTTCCCGAGACTTGGAACATGAACCCAGAGCAGCAGGCAGAGCCCCTGTGGAAAGCACCTGGCTCAGGTAATTGTCCCCCCAGGGAGGCTGGCTGCCAAGGAAGGGGGAGTGGAGGCAGGAAACTGGGTATGGGTTGAAGTGGGGCTGAGACCGACTTTGGGAATGCTCCCTCACCCTCCACTAGAGCAACAGAGCTTCACACCCCTGCTCTCCTCTCCAACCAACTGCAAAGGGCCAGGATGGCAGAGCCTGGCAGGGAAGCCACCTCTCTTCCATTTCTGAGTCTGGCGCTGACAAACTGTCCTGGTGCAGTTTGTCTAGGAATTCTAGGACTTGGGACAAGAATCTGCTCCCAGTCTATCACCTCCCCAGGAGACCACACTGGGCCTGCTGGATGAGTGAGTTCCTTCCCTTCAACGTCTGCACCACCCGTAAAACCCTCTGTGCTCGTGTCTTCCCTGCCTCTCTGCAAGTCAAAGGAGGGGCAGTTCCAAGAACTGGGCTCCTTCGAGAACCTTGGCAGCTGCCTCCCAAGGGGTCCTTGGCCTTGCAGATGTGGGAAGAGTCCGGTGCAGGGCTGGAGGAGGGAGTAGGGAGGGAGGGAGCGGCCACAGCCCGTGCCTCCCCTACCTGCCAGGTGGGATCAGCATGGCGGAAGTAGCAGAAGTTGTCCGTGATCCACTTGTAGATGGCCGACAGGGTGATCTTGGTGGCCTTGCTGGCCTGCATGGCCATGCAAATGAGAGTGGCATACGAGTAAGGCGGCTTTACGTGCGGGTTGGTGGCGTAGTCCACGTCGTCGGGGGGCGGGGCCTGCAGCCCCGGGGGCGCGCTCCGCGACGTGCACGACGATGTGGGTTTGCCAGGTGTGTGCGGCTGCCCCAGGCAGGCGGGGTCTGCCGCCAAGGGGGACCCGGGCGCCACCGAGCCTGGCACCTGGTGGTAGCCGTGGGGGTCGGTGCCCCCCGGGGGCAGGGTGGGAGCCTTGGCGTTGAGGATGGAGAATTCCTGCAGCCACTGCAGGCTGGTCAGGCTGTCATCCAGGGCGTCGGGCTCCTCCAGGCTGCGATCCGCACCAGCCTCCTCCGCCGACCCTGCTCCCGAGAGGCGCAGCCAGCTCTCCGCCATGTCTGCGGGGACTCTCCGAGGGGGCGGTCAACATCCACGGCCGGAGCCGGGTGGCCCGCCACGCTCTCCGCCCGCTGGCTCCCGCGGCTCCAGTTACACAGCCTCCCCGACTCGCACTTCCATTCCGCGACCCGGGGGTCGCCTCCTCCGAATACGAATGCGCGGCCTGCGGGACACGGCAGGAGCTGAGCACTCTTCCCGCACCCCCAAAGAGACGGGGTGGCGTGAAAGGGGAACCTGTTCCACATTCGTCCCCGCCGGGGGGGTTCCGAGAAACACGCAGTGTCCTCGGTCTGACCCCCCCCGCCGCTCCGCCCCCACCGTCCTTGTGCCCTTCGAGGTTTTATTGGCCACACGAGGGAAGAGGGTCGAGGATCGAGCAGCCGAGTCTATCCCTTTCTCCTGCAGAACAGGAAATCAGGACCCCTCCCTCTGCAACAAAAATGGAAGCGGGGCGAGAAGTCTGGGACGGTTGTACGACGGGGCGAGGGCGAGGGAGGTCGTCTGATCCTTAAAGGAGATATTAGGATGAGGGGTCCTGGTAAAGTATGGGAATAGGACAGAGTTATGGGGGAGAGGGCGGGAGCACGTTCCCCGAAACTCCTCGAATGTCAGTCCTTGTTCCTCCCATTTCTGTCGGGGACCGGTGGGAGAACAGGTTAGAACCGACGCCCTCTCTTCCCGTGGTCCGCAGCCCTCCCGGTCCCTTACCTGGCACAGAGCGCAGCCGGGCCAGAAGAAAGTTCTGGAAGAAGTTCCTTCCACTCCCCGCGGTTCTCTGCCCTCAGCTCGAGGGCCACGCCAGCGCCCCTCGTCGCCCCCCCCGCCCGACGGCGCTTCTCTGAGTGCCCTCGGCCTGGGGACCGGCATTAAGTAGCCGCTCAGAAGGCTTCGCCTGCTGCCATGGCGACGCCCCGCCCCCATAAACAGCTTCCGCTGCTGCCATTGGCCCGCACGTCGCCAAGGAGACCGCGGGCCCGAGCTGCTGTCTCTGGCTGCAACTCTCTCCGAACTCCCTCCTTCTGCCGCGCTCTCCCGCGCCACCCAGCCCCCTACCCGCCACCGCGTCCTGGCTCGGTGCATTCCCGCCGGAGGGCCCCGCGCTGGGTCGGAGAAGCGCGCGACTGCCGCCCAAGGTCCCGGGAACTGCCACTCCCGCTTTGCCGTGTCCGGCTTTGGGCTGCTCCGAGGTGTCGACGGTTCCTGGGACTCAGTCCCGGGCCCTGAATGCCAAGGCTGGGCGCCCGCTCAGCCTCGGGAACCGTGACCTTGGGGTTTTCTTTCCTCCCATCTGGGCTGCAAGTGACACTTTCTCATGTTTCTGCGGCCTTTCCCTCGCTCCCGACCCTGAGAATCTCCTCCGTGCCTGCAGGCAGGTCTGACTCTCCGATGCCACCTGCCGCTCACATTCGCAGAAACGGCCACACAGCTCGCAGACACACCAAGGCGGGTAGGGTAAACCAGCAGCTCCCGGTAAGCAGCTCCCTCCCTTCCCCTATCCTGCCAAAGCTCCCGGAAGCTGGCATTCCAGAGGCTTCTTCAGAGGTCCTCTCCCAGCCAGCGGAGGAAGCAGTCACAGACTTGCCAAATTCTCTCAGCGAGGTCATTTTGTCATGTTAATTTCACCAACCTTTAAGTGAGGAACCAAGACTACAGGGACACTGGCCCTCCCTTCTCTGATCTCCCTACTGTCACCAGCTTTCCTGCTCTTTAATTATTGAGGAGCTGCAGTGTTGGGAGTTCTCCGGTTTAAGGCAGCTGTACAGGGAGGGACAGGCTCTGCCCAGGAATGAAGCTGAGGGCTGGAGGCCTTGTGCCCAGAAGATCAGGCAAAATGCCAGGCAGTGGGCTCCCACCCAGGAGCATGCCTTTCTCTCCACCTTGTCTCTCCTGCTTCTCCACCTCAAGATCCAGAGTAAAAATACTAGCACCTGAGCTATTCCAACTGAAACTTTCACAAAGAAGCCCACTTTGCAGTTAACAGCTTTCCTTCCCTTATAAACAGTTTTATTCATTTTTAAGAATCATGCAGCAATCCATAAATATTGCATCCTTAATGTCTCCACTGTAGTGTCCACATGTGTACTCCAGGAAGCGTGAGGGGTACACAGATGGCACAAACAGCACACACATGTATACGTTTGCACACCCAGGTGTGCAGACCCTAAAGCAAAGTGACCAACAGCATGGCAACATCAAACATGTGGATGTTGACCTGGCTCCCCAGTAAGCCAGCTCAGTGTTTGGGTCTGTGCCCAGGAGGTGCCCCAGTGCAGGGTATAAACTCTGGTGGGATGGAACTGGTAGAAGGCAAAAAGGCTTTGTGAGGAAACCAAGATCACTGCAGCACCCTGTACTAGAGAGCACAGACAGTGTGGCAAGGAGCCACAGGGCCCTCATTCTGTGCCCACTAGGAGAAGCCAGATCCCATTCCACTCTCTGGGCAAATGCTGACAGGTGGCTGTCTCTGTGATAGGCTGGGGTGGGAGAGTGACAGCTGATTTGTCCCGGATCAGGCTGATTGAGGCCCATCCTATGAATGGGCTATCTCTGCTTGCCATAAGCTAAATGAGAATGGTGGGGCGGGGTGGTGGTGGTGTCCGGGACTGAGAAAGGCAGAGTAAAGGGCACTGTAACCTAGGTGTGTCTTGGTTATGGAGCTGAGGCCAACCTAGGAGAGGACAGAACACTTGCTGTGAAGGTGGGATGGGCTGACCTTAGTGGCTTCCTCTGTGTTCCTGGCTGCTATTTACCTAACTCTCCTTCATCCTTGTTACTTCCTCCATCCTCCTGGGTCACACCATACTGTGAACACTGCCTGCCTACTTACTGCCTGCTGGGTAAGGAGGTGGATCTTTGTGCCATCATCCCAGGCTAAGGGAACCTCCTTGTTGCCTGGTGCTTCAGGAGCTCATACTTTAAGGAAATCAGGAAGTGGGGTTATTGCTCATCTTATACTGCTTTAAATCTTAAGTGTATGAGAAGGGTTGTCAGAATGTTGGGGGAAAGAAAGGACATCACATGGGGTTTGAGAAAGCAGAGTGCACTGACTATTTAGGAAGGGTGGACATGGCTTGGCTTATTGTATCTCAGGCAGAACTGCAAGCTCCAACAGGTAGTGTGACAGTCACTATACTCCTGACCTCTGCAGCCACATAAAAGGTGCAAAGGCCCCCTTGGCACTGGGCTTTTTTGGAAAGCTTTTCTAGGGTAACAGTCATAAATCCTAAGACTCAGTGGAATAGCCTAAGGCTCTCCCACTTCTCACCCTTACAATTAATTGCTTCTAATTCTGCTTCCTAGGCAATCTCATGTCTGCTAAACAACTGCCTTTTCCAAAAGCTAGTGACGAGGCATCAACCCAAGGGCCATGTGGAATTCATTCAGATGAAAGCAGTGTGACACCTAGTAACTTCTAGGTCAGCCTTGTTCTTATAGGGTTTGGATGCTGACTGGTACTGTTTCCTAAGTTGATGACCCTATGGGAGGCTCTATCTCTTCTTTTGCCTATCATGCACATATCTGGAAGGCAGGGGAGCAGTACATCTAGGGTAGAGATAAAGGCCCCAACTCAACTCCTGCCTCTGGCTCCCTGGCCACACTGCCTCTGGCTCCAGGCTCCTGCCTGGACTTAGCTCAGGGCTCACTACCATTTCCTTTGGTGATCCTGGCCTACACATCTTTTAGCCTATTTCTTCAGCTATTAAGAAAAGGGGTGGAGACAGGGCAGTAGGGTTAACCCCCTCCACCCCCTCCCGCCACCAGCTACAGTGAAGATGAAATACAACGTTCAACACCCCTAGCATTGTACACGCAGAGGTGGTCCAGAAATGCGCTTCTTTGTGATGCCGCCTCTGGATGGAGCCCCAGGCCTTCTTCACGAAGAGAAGGCCTCATATTTGGGGCTCTTTCCACAGCAGACAGGCACCTGAGGCTCAGGAGACCAGCTCTGCTACCAAAAGAAAGTACTGGTTTTCAACCCACACTTTGGTTGCTGCCATCTCTCCCGTCCTTGAGAAAGTGGCTCCTGGTGCTTTGGAAGGGAAAGTCCATACAGAGTCAACATGGCCCTCCCTTCTCACAGGAGCCATGCCCCAACCACCCCAAACTGGAGGTTTTGAATTGGTTATGGTGTGCCAGAGATTAGAAACTTCCAGATGGGTGTCTGTAACAAAGCTGCCCAAATTCTTGAATCTGCATGGCCTACCCACCCCTAAGGAGAAAAGATGTTAAGAAACACACAGCCTCTGGCCCTCTGTTCCACCTGCCAACTAGGTTCAGCAGGTGCAGGCCAGTCTCTGTGAAGGGTCTCAGGAGCTATAGTTCAGAACTTCTGTTTTCTTCTGTGAGGGCAAGGATGGCAGTTATAGGAGATGAGGCTGGGAGAAGAGCAGGCTGAACTCCATGTCCAGCTTTCACTTGAGTATAAAGTCCACACGTGTCTTGCTGAGGATGCCCAGGAGGCCAGTGGTCCAGTGAGGATGTATGGAATGCAGGGCAGGAGGGGAGCCTGGGTACAGGGGTGGGCACTCTCAGACAGCCAAAGGACCCCACATGCTGGGCCTGCTCTCCTCAGGGTCCTCCAGGCTGCTGGATGATAAGCGCCGGCACTGGGGGTTCCAACAACTGACAATGTTGTCATCAGCCTGCCAGGTACCTGGAGAAGAGAAAATGAAGGTTACAGGAGCCAGACCTTAGACCAAGTCCACATGGCAGTCCAGTGGGGCAGCATGGGAACTGGACATGGAAGCTCTTGCAGGATGCATGTGACGTGAAACTCAAGTGTGCAAGTCACAGTGCCTGAGAGGAGGAATGGGGAGAAGTAGAAGCCAACATACATGCAGGGTTGTACAGTCACTGTATAGTTAGGCTAGGTACAGTCCCTGCCACCATGCCATGGACACAGAGGGACACAACAAGATGTTCCTTATTTGAGAACTGACCCTAGTTTGAGAACTCCTTTTGCATTTTAATTATTTGGTTCTGAAGTTTGCCTATACGGTATATGGACAAGGAAACTAGGTCTAGCTGAGTTGTTTCCTCCAAGGCAGGAGCAAGTAGAGAGGAACAAGAGCACCTTGGCCCAAAGCCCGTGTGTGTGTGTGTGTGTGTGTGTGTGTGTGTGTGTGGTGGGGGCAGGAAGGGGTGTGTGTGTGTGTGGTGGGGGCAGGAAGGCTGGTCACCCAGGGACAAAGAGCCTTGGGTAGGAGAACATGTGATGCTCCAGCACCCCTCCCCCATGTCACTGTTTTTCATCTCTGCTGGTACCTGAGCAACTGCTGGTGCTATCAACTCAGGGAGCCATAAGGTCCCATAGGTGCCACCTACTGCATTCATCTTTCTCCCCCAAGTAAGTGGCTGCCCCTGTGCCTAGACTGGAAAGTCATTCCTGGTGCCTATTTGCTTTATGTTCTGCATCCAATCCACCAGCACCTCCTGTCTGTCCACACTCTGGTAAGTCACTTTCCTTCATCAAATGGGAGGCGAGTGTGAGGACTGCAGGAAGTCATGTACGAGTATGCTGAGCAGAGTACCTGACTCACAGAATGTGCTCAGTAACCAGTACCCCCAGGCTTTGCTGAGGCCATTCTCAGGTCTCTCTTTAATGGTCCTCCAGCTAGCAGGTGGGTTTTCCTTGGTTCATTCCCTTCAGGGTAGTGACAGTGCTTCTTCTGTGAGCAAAGGCAGAGCCTTGGCCATCTCCACCTTCAAGATGAAGCCAACTCCAGGGGTTAAGGAAGAAGGGTCATCCTGTGGGCCCTGTGGTCTCTCCTCACAATGCACACAGAAAGATCCCACATGCTCCCCAGCAGCCTGAACCCCACTCTCTTCCCCACTCTGTGGAAGTTGTGGTCTTTCACTCCTCCATCAGACACAAGCTCCTCCTGCAGGGGCCATGGCATACGCATTGTTGCACCCCAGAGCCCAGCAAGGTGCCTGGCTCACCAGGGGTTCCTTTGGAGGATGAATATGGTCCTGAGGCCACTCACACATGGACAGGGTCAGCTTCAGGTCTGGCCAACCTAAGACATCAAGTTTTTAATGGCATATACACTAGGATGAAACAGGTATCAGCTGCTCTTTCCCCCTAAATGTCCTGGCAAGGTAATCCATCCTGAAGCCATAGTAATGGTCTCTGGTGGTAGTGCCTAGGGAGGGAAAGGAGGAACAGGAAGGCCTCATGGCCTTTCACACCCAAACTACCCAGGGGATCTCCACTCCCTAGGTTATGAGTCAAAGGTGCTTCTTCCCCTCTGAGGGTAGCACTTTGAGTGCTGGAAGGAATATCAAGGTAATATGGTCTGTTCAGTTAGAAACCACAAATAAAATGAGTTGCTTGTTCATTTATATAGTTTGGTAGATGTCATACCTATTCCTCAATGTTTATGGGGCAGGACTCCGGAACTGCGGCTGTTCAGTAGGAAAGACCAAAAGCAAATGGTAAACAAGAGAGAAGACACACATGCATGCACACACAAATAAAAACAGCAGCCGCCATATTACCACCACCACCACCACCGCACACCAGCACATCATGAGATGCACTGCAACTTGAGAGGTTGCCCGGGAGGGCTGTCCTGACCAAATTCACAGGAATCCTTGTACAAACTCTTACTATCGCAGAAGCCTTAGCCAGGGCTTCCAATAAAGTCTGTGGTGGGGGGAGACCGCGAGGGAGAATGAGGTGCTCTCTCCCCTGGAAAAATCCGAAGGGCCCACAGCAGTCCTGCTCCGAGAGTGGCCTTGCAGCTGAGCAGGGTGGGTGCTGAGGGGGACGTTCCCAGTGAGTGTGCCATCATGTCTGGCTGCATCCAGGCCCTCCAGCGAGAAAATGGAGCTCGGATACTTGCAATGCCTCCAGGGAGAGGGACAAAGACGCTTTCCATTCAATTCCCTTCTGGGGAATCAGAAATGGGTGAAGAGACCTCTAGAGGCAGATTTGGGGACACATTTACGAAGATATGGCATACTCTTTCCCTGCCTCTACCAAGCCACTGATGAAATGTAAGGGCTGTAACAGTTTAACTGTCTTTGCAGAGAGCTTAATTTGCATTTCCCTTATGTCCATGATGCGCATACTTCCGTTATAGCCTGGCGTCATGAGGCTTGAGGAGGACTGGACTAAACTTCACGTTTCCATAAGTACTTTTAGATTTTATTGGATAGACCTATTCCTGTACAGTGCAGTCATTTAAAAATTGTGTTTATATTCCCTCTAATTCCCCAATTTATTCTTGCCTTTTCCTACCACATACACTTACCCTAGAGCCTTTTCCAGAATTATCTCTTGCTCCCATCACTCTCCTGCCATCTGTGTAATATTCTACCAAATTCCTTGGAACCACATTGACTTAGCATGGTCATCAGTTATTCTTACCAATTACACCTGTCACCTTAGACTCTCCACTTGGAGACCCTTTCAGGAACAATCTCAGAACATACCACCCCTAGTATGAAGAATCAGAAATCTACCTTCAGTCTTGGGGCTCCAGAAGACCTGGAAGCTTCTTAGGGAAAAGGGTCTGAAATGACATATTTGCCCTCTAAGACTTTCACAAGTGTAAGGAGTGGTGAGGATGAGTCTCTTGGCAGAGTGATGTGTGCATGGCCCAGGATTCAGGGAGAGTGCAGAGTGCCCTCCATTCCATATCAACCCTCCAGGAAGGGGGTGGCATCCACTTGAAGAGGGAAACAGACTCATGCAGAGACTGGGCATGTGAGAAGCAGTCTCAATGGAGAACTCTGCCCATAGAAACAGTGGGGAGCCAAATCAAATAGGGGTATCTCATAGTAGATAGAAGTTTGACCATATGATTATCAAGAGGCCCAGTTAGTCCATGGGACCTACCAAGTGGATTCTCCTGTCTTTGACCCAATAGATACTTTCAAAGAGTCTCACAGCACTTTTCTATCGGCAGAACCAGAGAGACATTTTGCCTGCAAGAGCCTTTGGACCTCTTTAAGTTTCCCTTATGCTGAGGACATAAGGGAAACTTAAAGGACTTGTACTTAAAGTAACCTGAATCCTTCTCCCAACAGCTGCCACAAACATTTGATTTCATGTCTGGCCAAACTTTGAACCCAGTTTAGTCTCAAAACCACTGGCTCTAGAAGTTACCCTAAGGAACTCTAGGGCTGCATTCCTCCTTCCTGAACTCACCACCCTCCCTCAAATCCACAAGTGGAATAGCTACAAGCAGGTTGGCTGGAGGGAGGTCAGAAGAAGCAGCAGAAAGAATAAGCTCATTTTCCACAGCACTGTTGGCTCAGTTCCCAGCAGCTCCCTCTGCCAAAATTAGGGCTGTGTTGGGAAGCCCTCGAGGGGAGAGGCTGGCCAGCAGAGAGCTGCCACAGAGACAAGCAGAGCTAGGCAGAGGCACCATCCTCACCCAACTACCAACCAAGGATGCCAGTTACAAAAAAAAGTTCTCCCATAAGCCTTGCCATTGAAGCATGCCCATGTTTGCTGAAAAGATATTAATGTAGTCTCACAATATTTTTTCTTGGAAAATCTTAGTATATTGAACATAGGCCCCTGCAGGTTAAGAAGTGAAACCTTGTCTAATCCCTAAGCGAGAGCCCTCAATGTGTACACGCCAGCAAGCTTGGTGTCGGGCTAAGTAAGGCAGGGAAGACGGTGCTGGCACAGAGTGAACATGAACTTTCACGCGAGTCAGATAACATATATGAGTTAAAAAAAATAAACAAACCAGACAGACGGATCTACATTTGGCAAAAGGACATGAAACACAAATGGACAGAAGCAAGGTCAGGAATGGGAAGGCAGGGAGTGAGTGTGCCCTGGTCCCCAGCAGCTCTGGTCCAGGCTTAACTGGGCAGGAGATGGCCATACAGATCAATGCCCTTCCACTATGCTCAGGTAGGAAGGAGGTGCACCCTGGGCCTGTGCAGGAAAAGCAGGCAAATTGATACCGTCCCTTGAGCCTTGCTGAAGGTTAAGAGGCCTGGGAGGTATCTTCAGGACAAACTAGAGAATGACAGAAGCACCCTTGGAAAGGCTGGAGAAAGCATATCCTGAGAATTCTGGCTTCCCCTGCCACAGGCTTGCATTGGGCCAGGGCCTGCTGGGACCGTATCTGGCACAGGCTAATGGAGAGTGGCAGCCACAGAAGGTCGTGTAGCTCCAACACCTCCAGCCACTTCGCTGAGCGAGTAAAGCACTGGACCCAGGAGTGGCTGTTCTGAAGCTGAAGCAGGTCTATCATTCAAGGACATTGGGAGGATTACAAACAGCACAGTGTGAAGACAATCTCTGCAGTGAAATCAGGAGGGGATATCTGACCAGTCCAGTAGGGCAAGACGTGGCTTTAGGAAGCAGTTCTTGGAGCCCTTGACGGAGCACATGGAGGTCAGTGCTCAAAGTGTGATTAATCCTAGATTCAATTTGGTATCATGAAAAGGAATGAGGGTACTCTGACAACCCTGATCAAATTTAGAATTGGGGCTGCAGAGCGGACAGTCATCCCTGACTGCCTCTCCTTTGGGATCTAAATCTATTATATACACTGCAACTGCAACCTAAAGCTTGGCTCACAAAGTCTTTCTGATATTCTGTAAATATCCTCCGAGGAGCTAACGGTTCACTTTTAAAGGGCTCAGGCTATCTTTTCAAGACCTTCACAGGGAGGTGTTTGTTGCTGACTTTCTACTGATGAAAACAAGATAGGCCACCTGACACGTTACCTCCAGATCTTGATAGAGGGCTTATAGTTTGGCCAAATTGTAAGGAGAGGAATTTTTGCCCCTTTCTTCCTAACCCAGTATTCTCAGAGCAGAAGCTGCTTTTTAAATAAAGCTCAAGGACTCTCCTGAGGCCTTCTGACTTCTTCTCAGCAACTGGTCTCCAACATCTTAGCACACCCCAGGCCTTCTTGGCAGGAATGCAGGGCAGGAGACGAGTGTACCGAGGGAGAGCAAGGATAAGAGCAGAGGGATGTCTCCCACCAAGTTCATGTTCAGCAGACTGCCACTCACCAGGTAAGCAGACCTCAGAGCACAGCTTATTGTCCAGTGCTTTCACGCTTGCGATGTCAAAGTCATTGTTATTGTCACACTCCATACCTAGAAATGCGCATGTCCTCTGGCCTGTAACGGAGTTAATGCAGTTAGAGAGGGGCTGGCTGTTTTTCTCTACTTTGCTGTTCTTAAAATAAAAATTTTAAAGATGGAGACAAAAAAATCAAATCATATGTTAAAAAAAAGACAGTAAGTGGGTAAAGAGCAGACAAAAAGAGGACCAAGTTGTGTGGGCGTGTCTGGGTTCTCGCACCATCCTGATTTGTTTCCTTAGCCACTTTTGAGCCACTGTTCCCTAGTAAGTCAGATCACTGCAGAGGGCTGTGTGACACAGGCTTGACAGAGACCACTATGGAGAGCAGCTGCGCCCAGGCCAGGCCACTAACATTGTGGCTGACAGAAGCTGGAGAAAGCTGGGAGGGGCGGGGGGGGGGGGGACGGTACCCTGCTCATGCCTGTGCTGTCTCAGGTGAAAGCAGGGTATATTTATGACCACAAGGCTCTGCAAAATAATGGACACATGAAACAACAACTAAAGGCCTTAGCTTCCATAATTTTGCATATCAAATCAGAATGATCGCATTCACAAAATTATGTTTTACTCTCTTCTGAGACTGAAGCTCTTATTTTGAGTATTTTTTTAGTAACTTCTCAGAAATCTGCACACATATGAGAAAGGAAGGGAAAGTTGCAGAAAGAAGTGATTTTTTTCAAGTTCCCCCTTTCTGCCTGGTGAAAAGGAGAGAAGCCCACTCCATGTGGGCTAGAGAGTGTCAGCTAGAAACAACCTGGCCCCCTGTACTTCTTAGAAGCAACTATTCTTCGGGGTAGTCATCCCCCAGGTGACTCTGGAGCCTTGGGTCCTGAAATCATCCACAGAAGAAGGGAAGCTTCAAGCCCTAGGCAGTGTGCAGGAGCAGGAAGGCCCGGCCTTGGTGCTGTCCTTTCCTTTAGGCTCTTGCCTGGCGGGAGCTGTCAAGTCTGCATGCAGACCCCTGCCAACCCAAAGCAATGGCCAATGCTAAAGCAGAAGCAACTAGATGACATCTGCTGGCAACTGCATCCAGGTCACAGCACAAATGTGCTACAGAGGTGGCCTAGAGCAGAGAGGGAAGGGAGCCTGGCTGCTGGGACTTGTTACTTCTCCAGCCCCATTTCTTTTTCCCTTGCCCTGAAGGGCGTTCTCTTCCAGCCTCACTGGAAACAAAACTCTTTCAACTGAAGACATAATGGAAAAGTCACGGTGAAGCCAGTCACTACCACAGCCTACGAAGTTCTTGACTAGGTTGAGCTGCTGCAGAAACTTGATGTTTCCTTCACCAGACCCTTAATGTGTCTGCTGCTGCCTGAAATCCCTCTCTTACATTTTCCCACTAAAGTAAAACCAGACAAGCTGCCAAATAGTCCTGCTTCTCCTCGTGGAAGACACTGTTCCTTCTCCTCCACCTGGGGCTGGAGAGCTGTAGCAAGAGGTGTGTGTATGGCGGGGGAGTAGACAAGAAGCTTCAAGGCCTAACTGCACATGCAGAACCAGGTGTGTCTTTGACAGCATCACTGTCCTGACCTCCTGGGCTCTGAGTCCCAGGAAGAACTGGAGTGGTTAGTAAGGTTATTGATACCCTGTTTGCCTTGTTATACCATCAAGATGACAGCCTTTCCCCCAGTAGCCACACAGATGAGCACTCCCAAGTCCCAGCAATCCCCCTTTCTTTACCCCTTAGAGAATACTAAGGAAAGTAACAATACGAGGGGAGCAAAACCAGGTTTTTTACCATCTTCTTGCATGGGAGATCCATCTTCTTCCTCTATGACATCATTTCCCTAGGACAGAAGAAAGCCCTATGAGTCCACAAAGCAGTCAGATGAGTGAAATGATTGGCCAAATCATCCCTGTGGTGTCTAGCTCCAAGGCCTCTTGTCCATAGCACACATTTCCCTTCCCTGTTTAGCATAGCAAGGAGACCAGCAGAGGCTAGATTTGCCTATGGGGAACAGATCCAAGCTACACTGCAGGCATATACTCAGAATGATTTCTCAGGAATACCCTGTTAACAGCTTAGCTGATCCTGTTTCTCTAAGGTAGAAATAAAAGTTGTAAAATAAAAAAGCAAATTGTGAGATCATAAAACTTTTGGAAACCCTTTAGGTTCCCAAACACCATTTAGATCCTTTGAGAGGATCAGCCTCAGGAAAAGTGAAACCAAGGACTGTAAAACAATGTGTACACACTCTAGCCAAGGACTCCTCATCCTGAGCTGTAATATCATCTGCCACTGCCATGGGATCCTGGATAGGGTTCTGGGTGTGAGGGAAAGCAGAAATCTCTTCACTCAGGCCTGTTATGTGCCCCCGTGCCAGTGACCCAGTCACTCTGTGAAAATGCTCACTTAGATCCATTGGGCTAACACAGTTCCCAGGCCAAGGAAGGGTCTGGCACAGAAAGGTCCTTCTTGAACTTACTCCAACTGGATCACACTAGAACCAGTGTCCCCTAGGAACTGGATAGTACACAGGTCAGAGTATGAGGCTAATCTCACCTCTACGCACATTCCCCTTCTAAGTGATCTAGGTGTTGTCACCCAGAAAGCCTTCTTCAGACCTCCCACCCCACTGGCAACCCCAGCCAACTCCAGTAGTTCCTCTGGCTGCAGGAAAGGGCAGGGCTGTCTGCCATCCAGTTACCTCTGCATCCTGTTCTCCTGCTGGGAGGCCGACAAAGTTGCTATCTGGAGTCTCTGCTGGTATCCCCTACAAAAGAGCAATAAACCCAAAGGAAACAGTTATTACAGACTCTCCTGTCAACAAAGTCAAATCCAAGTCTTCTTCAGCACAAAGTTTGTGGCAGAGAGGAATCAGGTCTCTGGGAGTGCAGCCCACACTCCTGAATACCTGGGCTTGCAGCCACACCTGGCAGACCCTTTATTAGTAATAGTATTCTTTAGTGGCACTGGGGTTTGAAGTTAGGGCCTCAGGCTCTTGAGCCACTCTGCCAGTGTGGCCCTGATGGGTTTTCTCAAGATAAGGTCTCACTAACTATTTGCCCCGGGGCTGGCTTCAAACTACAATCATACTGATCTCTGCTAGGGTTACAGGCATGAGCCACTGGCACCCAGTTTGGCAGACCCTTTTTTAAGCTACCTTGGACACATCGTGCAGAGCAGGAGCAGAGGTGATTCATGTGTACTTCCCTTACCTCGCCTTCTTCTGAGGGGGCTCGGCTGGCAGCCTGGGGGGAAGGGAGGGCCTCTTCGTCCTCTTCATTGCCAGGGGCAATGTAGGAGCCAGACATGGAGGACACAGTGTCAGTACTGATCTGGGAGGACGCCATGGACATGACTGACTGGGCCAGGCTGCTGCTGGCGGGGTCTGTGGAGACAGAGGTTGAAGGAAGGAGATGGGTCTGGCTAAAAGAGGAACAAAGCTTCATCCCTGCATTCAGGCCTCATCTTGTTCTCCTCTGAAAAAGGTTTAGACTTAGAGTTTCTCAAAATTCTGCTTCTCTATACTTTAATGCTCAGAGCTCAACCTAAGGGACTAGGAATGTGCTTCTCCCCACCACAGAATTAAGGAAACCTCATGATGGCAGAACTAGGACTAAGAGAAGGGCCCTCCCCTAGCTCCCTTAGGAGTACAAGTCCCCTTCCCTCTCCAGTGCGACCTGTTTAGTCACTAGCTCTGGATTCTCTTGCTGCTCCCATTCTCTGGATGAAGTGCCAGGACAGTTATGGCTGTTGACGAGGTAAGAAGAAGGACATGCAGCTGCTACCTGCTCCCTCATGTACCTTCTGGGGAGGAAATGGTAGAAGAGAGAGGAGTCCCTGTGCAAGACGACTGGTCAATAGCTCCTGAGGATGACAGGGTGAGGTTTTCACTTTCTGGAGTCATGCCACATTCCTAGGGGTGGAGGACACAACAGGACATGGAGTAAGCACTGCCTAAAATGTGGGAGGAAGGGGTAAGAGCAGAAGCAGGGAGGCTGGGCATGGTGGCTCATCCCTGTAACCCCAGCTACTCTGGAGGCAGATCAGGAGGATCTAGGTTTGAGGCAAGCACAGGCAAAAAGTCAGTGAAATCCTATTTAAATAAAAAAAAAAAACCAAAAAAAAAGCTGGGCATGATTGTGGTGTTCCTGTCATCCCAGCTATAAGGGAAGCATACATAGGACAATTGTGGTCTGAGACTGGCCCCAGAAAAAAACACCCTATCTCAAGAATAACCTAAACAAAAAGGGCTGGGAATGTGGTTCAAGTGGTAGAGCACCTCCTAGCAAGAGGGAGGCCCTGAGTTTAAACACAAGTACCAGCAAAAAAAAAAAAAAAAAAAAAAAAGAAAGAAAGAAAAAAGCAAAGCAAGATCTGGGTAGAGAGTAGGAGGAAAGCGGACAAGAAAAAAGCAAAGCAAGATCTGGGTAGAGAGTAGGAGGAAAGAGGACACCTGAAGGGACAAGGACCCTTCCTCATGAATGTAAGTGACATGAAAGGTAGGGCTGCTGTCTATTCTGTCAGCACTCCTCTTCAGCCTTGGGCCTGGAGGGAACTGTCTCCCAGGGGAAATGCAAACTTCAGTCAGCACCTCCTGTCTGAGGCCCAGCATTTGCTGGGGCCACACAAAGACTGCAGCTCTGGTGACACAGGTCACCCAGCAGCTGTGACACAGGGATACCCCCGGTTTCCCCAGAATTATAAGAAACTTTCCTTTAGAAGGAAAAGAACACAGGGCCAGCAGGGGCCTCACTACCTGCAGGACATCCACATGGATGTCCAGTGAGCCTGTCCAATTGATCTGAAACAAACACCACCTCTGCTCCCATTCCCCACCTGTCAGTCACTCAGAACACAGCCTCACCACCACAGGCAATAGGGAATTCTGTGAATTTCTGTTCATGGCTCATTCCCTCTTCCCCAAGCAGGATTCTGTCATCTCAACTCACACCTGGGCTATGGAGCCATTTTCCCGGCTCTGCATTTCCTGGCTAACCAGGTCTGCCCATGTCTGTCAGGGGGGCCTGGTGAAGCAGAGCTCTCTCTGGATCCTTGGCCTGCTTCCAGCCTCCACCTGGATGTTTTTCTCTCCTTTCTTTCAGGTCTAAAAGGTTTCAACATTCAGTTCAAATGCTACTTATCTACAAACCTTTTTCTGGTTTCATCCACTTAATGAAAGCTTGCTCATCTCTGCTACTACAACACTTTATGACCTGTTTTGGGTCCTCTTCTTTTCTTTTTTTTTTTGAGACACAGTTTCATTGTCACTGTTGCAGCCTGGAACTTGAGCTTCTCCTATCCCAGCCTTCTACATGTAGGGATTCCAGGTATGTACCACCACACCTGGCTGGGTATGCTTATTTTCTATATTTAAGATTTATGCTTACTGGACAATGACCCTGTGCCAGATATACTGCTTTCCTACTAGATCTGAGCTACCCAGGACAGTGACACTTTCTCATCTATGAATGCCCTGCTGTACCTAGCTCAGTGCCCTACAGAGTAGGTGGCTAACAAACTTCTGCTAAGTAAAGTCTGTGAGAGATGCAGAGGGTAGAAAGTTCTGGTCTTCTATCACTGCACCACAGAGGCTTCCCAGCACCTTCCCCAGGTGCTAGGGCTTCCCACACCTAGACCTCTTCTTAGCTCTCTGTAGTTCACTCTCTCGTCTGTGCTGGTTCCTGTTCCTGGACCTCTGTTTGAATGGCAACCCTATTTCCATCCTCAAGGCTTGGTTTCATTGTCCTATATACTGTCCAAAGAGCCATCTGGCACACACACTGTTTACCCCCTACCCTACTCACAAGCTTGTAAGTGCCTCAAGGCACTTTTTTTTGTGGCTTCCCCATGGCTGCCATCTCAGCACACATGACAGGGCCGGGACTACATGGGCTCCATACACTGGCAAACATGTGAATGTCATGAAACCTCTGTGACTGGCCCCTGGGAAGGACTGAGAGGTAGCTAATGAACACATGAAAGCAGGTGGCCCCACAGAGCCAGGTAGGAGGACAATGCCCAATACCAGGATCCAGGGAGGAAGAAGAAAGCCAATTACCTCCCCAGGAAGCTGAGTCACTGGTCTCTGGGAGAGCGGAGTCTCCGACTCGCTGCAAGAGCGCTCGTCTTCCTCTTCGTGCAACACAGAAGAATTCTGGGAAACAGATCTGTAAAAGTCCAGGGGGAAAAGCAGCTGCCTCCACTGTCAACTCAGAGATGGGAACTAGCCACACTCTTCTCCTTCCACAGTTAGTGCGGGGAGAGGAGGCATCAATGGAACCAGGGCACACCCAGCTGTGGAGGAACAGGATGGGAGAAGAGCACCAGGGAGGGACCTTTCTGCCTCTTGGTCCTTCAGTGAATTGCTGTCTGACCTAGGGAAAAACCACTGACAGTACCAGGGTCTCAATACTTTCACCTGCAAAACACCCTCTTTACTTTGCCACAGAAACCATGTTGTGATTGCACCCTGCTGGATTTAAATGCTTAGGATACATAGTCATGAGAGTCCTTTTGTCTTCAGACTAAGCCATGCTCCCAGGGGCCTGAGAGGCCCTGTCCACAGCGCTCAATGTTCACTTCTCTGTACTCCAATCCCTTCTCCAAAAGAACACATGACAAGTTTGTCTAGTGGGAATTTTCCTAAGTACCCATACACATCTTGTTTCCATCTCTTAGGGATAGGGTAACCGCCCCTCAAGGGTCCCCTCAGGTCTTTCATGAAAATAAGCAGCTCAGGGAATGGTGAGAGGATCTACCATACCCTGGGCCTAGGATGTGACCAGCATGACAAGGAGGGAAAGTGTTTTGGACATGTCTCAAAGAGGACTTGGGGGCAACCCTGGTGAGTGCTGGCTACTCACTTGGAGAGACTCTTTTTGAGCTTGAGTCCTTGGCTGCTGCAATCAGACAGGCGATCAAGGGGGGACAGTGTCCTGACAGGGGGCAGGTGGCCGTCACTGCCGTATGAAGGCAACATTCCTGAGATATGACCATCTCCAAGCACATGAAGTGGAGGGACCGCTGGGGATGGGGTGAGGGGCCCATTGAGAGCCTCCAGAAGAGACACCACTTCATAACCTGGTGGAATATTCTCTGAGGACTAGGGGAATCAGAGACAGGTTGAAAAATTAATTAAGTACTTTTGTTTTATGGCATGATCATGTTTCCTACTGGACACTAAAAAAGTGTTTTCTTTACATCTGGTCTAGGAGGGGTTTGTGGGGGAAGATGCAGACAAAAGATAAAATGTCAATGAACCACAGGCTCCTAGATCCTGCTCCTAGATCCTGCTCATAATGGTTATTTTTTCTAAAAATAATAGAAATAAATACTCATTATAGGAAATTTGGAAAATACATCAAACTAGAAGAGAAAAAAATTACCAATAATTATCCAAAGTAACTTTTGTTAGTATATCTTCTTCCAATTATTTTCTTATACTATTTCCACATTTATGATCAATCTGTAAATAATAATTCTATGTCTTGCTTATTTCACTGAACATAAATATTTTCCTGTTTTTGAAAGGTCTTCAGATTCATCACTTTTTCATAGACATTATAAGTTTTCTAACTACCAGTGCGGGGTATTTAATTGTGCTAAATATCTTCTGATGAACATTGTGTATAAATCTTTTTCAGGCCTGGCACTGGAGCTCAGTGGTACAGCCCTTGCCCAGCAAGTGTGTAGGCCTTAAATTCAATTTCCAGCAGTGGAAAACATAAACAGAACAAAACAAATCTTCACATTATTTCTTACTATTAAAGTCTTAGGCCTTAGATTACTAGTTATGAATGTTTTAAGGCTCTTAGTATACAAAACTGTTTTGTTTTGTTTTCTCAATGGCTTCTCTAGTTCCACTCCTACAAGCAGTATAGAATACCCATTTTGATTACTTCTCTACCAAAATAGAGTATGTTTAAAAAGAAAAGTTTTAAAATATGAAAGATAAAAAATTGAATCCCATCTTAATTTGTATACCATTGATTTTTAATATGGCTGAACTTTTTTTTTTCTTGTGGTGCTGGTGATTGAACCCAGGGCTAGGCAAGTGCTCTACCACTAAGCTACATCCTTAGCCTTTGTTTTTTTTGACATAGGGCCTTGACCCCTCTATTCTTCTCTTTCCACTTTCAAAGTAGCTGGGATTAAAGGGTATACCACCACACTTGGCTCTCCCTGAACTTTTTAAAAGAGCTTATTAACTTAGCTATATTTCCTTTCTTGAGAATTTTTATATCCTTTTGTTTATTTACCCACTGCTTTATTCTTATCAGCTATGGCAAAGACTTTCCTCTGACATATAAATTGTCAATAGTTTTTTCTTTAAACAATTTGTTGTTTGTTTTTAAATTTTGGTCACCTTTTAAAACCTGAAATTTTTAGCTTTTAATGTAGCCAAATCTACAGATTATTTTCCCCTGCTTGAGAGCTTAGAGAATCCTCCCCCACTCAAAATCAACTAAATAATCACGCTATTATTTATTCTGGATTTTTAATGCTCTGTTTTGATTTGCTTTCAAGATAGTTAACTAGTTACTCCATCTGGAATTTGTTATCTGTTTAGGATTAAAGTGCTACATGGATTTACCTTCCTAAATAGCTAACAATTATCCCAGTCACTGAATGATAAATTTCTCCCACTACCTGGCTAATCTAAAGAAAGACAGTATCTGCTCTTTTTTTTTTTGTCCAGTGCTGGGAATCAAACCCAGGTCCTCACATATGCTAGGTAAGTGCTCCACCATGGAGCTACACCCCCAGGCCAGTAGCTGCTATTGTATAGTTACAAAGAGGTTTACCCTAATACTATCTTTACATTATTACTGTTTTTCCACTCACTGAAGCCATGGGATCGCATAAAGAAAAACAGTTCCTTTCTTCAAGGATTCAAATGAAGATAGTAAATTTTATTCAAATCCAAATCCAAAACAATCATCCCCTTGTTTCTGCTTGGGGGAATTCCAGAGCTGGACCCACTGAAGTGAACCATGAGCAGATGGCTTTAGGAATATAAGTATTAACTGGACACTAAGTTTGTAAGAGGTGCTCAAACTGCTTTTGCTGAAAACACTAACTCCTTCTTGGGCCCACGAATTGACTAATAGCCAGAGAAAAGCGTAGCATCTGCCTTCATTTTCTATCTGTCTCTGTGCTGAGCCATTCTTTTTGTAGTCACTTTGCAATCACCTTGGATTCCAGAAAGGACAGAAATGTTAACATCCTTATGACAACAATCGACAAGGAACTGGAGCTGCTACCATTCCAGTGAGGACAATTATCCCAAGCCAGAGTAATCCTTTCAAACAGGAACCAGATTACTAACTCCAGGTGATAACTTCCCAGAACAGGACCAGAACACCAGACCACCTGCCTTACCAAGACTGCTCCACCAGTCACAAGACAAACCAGACCACACCTGTGATGGGGACTATTTAACTATGCAAACCTTTGTCCCTTGCCCCCAGTTCTTTGTCTACTTAAACCTAAAGCTCAGGTCTGTACTCCAAAGATGGCTAAAGATGAGCTGAGTGCTTCCTCTGCCTCTTCCCACGGCATGTCCTGAGCTGTGTAATAAACGTCCTTTCTCTGTCTTTGCCATGCCTATTTGTTTGGTGTTTAGGGGCGGATGGCCTAACCTGGCATGTGGAATCTCAGGAGTTTGGGCCTTGGGTCCAAAACTCTGGTTTCAGCTTCCGGAGGAGGAAAAGGGAGGCTTTAATCACCAGGAGTAAACTTTCTGCATTGTTTGGGTGGGTTTTAAAGGACATGACCTCAGGCAAATGTTTCAGCCTGCACAGCTCTGACTCCTTGCTGCACTGCCACATAAAAAACAAAGCTGTGCATGGTGCTCCTGTGACCTCTGATCCCACACTCAGGTGGCTGGGCAGCAGGGCTGAGAGTCTGAGATCACGCAGGGGCTACATATAAGACCCTGTCTCCAAATACAAAAAAAAAAAAAAAAAAAAACCCAAAAAGATGAAAAAGGCTAAAAAATAAAATTAAAACCACCAGAGAGCATTTGTTCAGAGGATCATGGTTCTGAGCCCAACTTACTGAATGCTCTTCAGAGTCAGATGTCTGGGAGGAGATGATGGGATTAAAGCTGGTTGGGGACAAGGGGCCCAATTTTTTCCTCATGGCTCGGATCTGAAGCAGTGCCCGGAAGGCTATGAAGAAGAAAACAGACAATCAGGACATCCTGCTACAAGATTAAGGAAACAAGAGCCCAAGCATGCTCTCTCCCAGAGTCAATCTTTAGTTTACCAGCCCTGCAGTGGTATGTTCTGGTGTTTTGTGATGCCCTTTCTGTCCTCCCTGTCCCCCATTCCCGTCCCCTCCCCACTTACGCAGCCGACATATGGGGCAGTTGTTGGCCTGGTAGCGCAGGGTGTCTGCACAGGTGTTACAGAGGCAGAGGTGGCGACAGGGCAGAATCAAGGTGTCCCGGACATCAGAGAGACACACCACACACTCAGCACTGTTATCACTCACTTCGTCTTCAGCCACCTGGCCAAAGAGATGGAAATTTAGCCCTTTGTGTCCCATATTTTATTTATAAGGCAGCTTGGCTGAAAAGCTGAGGTAAGCACTGGACTTGACAGTACACACAGTGCTTTCAAGTGCTCAGTCCCACTGCTTCTGAGAACTGCTTATCTGAAGTTGAGTCCGGGACTAACCCTAAGCTTATCTATCCTTAGAGGCCCAGTGCTGGCTTCCCTCTGATAGTCTGAGCTGAGAGCACCTAGGGGACCACCCAGGTCAAGGTGAAAGGGATGTGAAAGACCCTCACTGGAAACAGAGTTAACAGGGCTCTGGAGCAGAAGAACAAATCCAGAGCAGTCTATTTTCCTCATTTCAAAAGTGACAGAGCCTAATGATCTGAAGAGCAAGGAATATTCTCGAAGACCCAACTGGCTAAAAAAGTAAAGAAAATGTTTAGACTGGAGTGGTAGCTCAAGCAGCAAAGTGCCCGCTTTGTAAGATGAAGCCCTGAGTTCAAAACCCCAGTCTCTTACACACACTCACACACACACACACACACACACACAAAGTACAGACCTAAGATGAAGCCCTGAGTTCAAAACCCCAGTCTCTTACACACACACACACACACACACACACACACACACACACACAAACACGCACACAGAAGTACAGACCTAAGTGGCTCCAGAGTTTGACTTACTAGATTCCTTGGCCCTGGCTTGAGCACAGAGTTTACAGAGTTTCTCACTCTGCCACTCAGGAAGAGTCACAGGCAAAATTTTGAACAAAACTTGCCTTAGAATCTTGTGTGTTGTATTTGTTTTCGATTCCATAGATCTCCTGAAGGAGGTAGCTGACTCCATCCACCTGAACAGCAAACAGAAAAGTTCAAGGACAAGCTTCCTTCCAAGAGACAGGATTGAGTGTCCCTCATCCCCTGTCCCCACCTAGGACTACTGATTCACAGTGAAAAAATGCAAAGGCCTAGATAAGTAAAGGATGTCTTTATTTACTTATGTTTTCTCTTTGAGAGGGGAAAGAAAAAAAGTGTTTAATTCACCCACATTCTATTCAACAGGGAACATTACATTTCACAAATGCAACAATAATACTTCATTATTGTGAACAGTTATGAAAGGCAGAAAAAGGACGGAAGGGAATGTTTCAAAATGTAAGTGTTCTTTATGTAAAAAATTTAAGTTCAGACATTATAAGAACAAAACAAAGCCTTGGTGCCAGTGGTTCACGCCTGTAATCCTAGCTACTCAGGAGGCAGCCATCAGGAGGATTGTGGTTTGAAGCCAGCCCTGGCAAAATAGTTCAGAGACCCTATCACAAAAAGAGCTGGTAGAGTGGCTCAGGGTATACGCCCTGAGTTCAAACTCCAGTACTGCAAAAAACAAAACAAAACACAAAAACCCGAAACTGGCAAAGAGAAAGAGGAAGAGAGAAAAATGTAGACGACAGGATGAAAGACCTTGAAGGACAGGCTAACGATGTGATGCAGTCTTCCCCCCATGAAGCCGCCCTTTTTCTAACATGCAGCAAAATTATTCCTCGCCCGTTTCTCTTTTCCTTCCTTCCCTCCCTCTCTTCTTTCTTTTGTTGTTTTTGAGATGGGGTCTCACTATGTAGCCCAGGCTGGCCTCAAGCTTGTGATTCTCCTGCCTCAGCCTCCTAAGTGCTAGGATAATAGGCATGCACCATCACACCTGGCTTTTTACTTTTTCTTTCTTAAAAACAACTTTTTTTGATAACAAGTTTTTGCTTTGTTGCCCATGCTGGCCTCAGCTTTTCAAGTAGTTGAGATTACAAGTGTGTCCCATCATACCTATCTTGTTTTTGAGATAGGGTCTCACTAACTTTTGCTTGGACTGGCCTCAAATAATGATCCTCCTACCTCTGCCTCTCGAGTAGCTGGAATTATAGGTATGCACCACCATACATGTACCTGGCTTAGCCTTGTTTCTTAAAACCCCAACTGCTAATGCCCCATCCCACTCCTACTAGCTTGGGCCATGTCAGTGCCTAAGTTGGTTCTTCCCTTTTTCCCTTCAGAAGCCCACTCCTCCCTTCTGCCTCACTGCTGCTCTGAGACCTTGTCTCTACAGACCTAGTCTATCTCTGACTCTGTATCACACTCTCCAGTTTGACAGTCTGCTGCTAATGGTAATCCAGCAATAGGGAAACAGATAAAACATTTTCCTATAGCTATGCTGGACAACAAGGCCTTCTTCATAAGACATCTCACCAAGCCTGGGTCTGCCCAGGTAGTAGCCTCCTCTGCATCTCTTAAAACTTGTTTTAATGTTGTAATTCTATTGAAAAGGATATTATACTAAGGTATTATTGAGTACTATTGATCCCATTAAAGAGGGGCAAGTACTTAACCCAAAAGAAGGAATAAGATAGAATTTTAGATGGAGAGGCCTTTCTTTGTGTTTTAACAAAGGGCAACCCTACCTCCTACCCACTTGCTCCTACCCTCCATGTGATAACCCACCTCTCCCCCCATCCTCTCCTGCCAATGCCTCTGGCACACCACTGTCCCCTCACCCTCAATGGCATCTCCTACCTCTGCAAGAGTGGAAAGAAAATAGCTGGTACATGGTGGGGGCTAGGCCTTGAAGCAGACATGCAAACCTTGCTGATCATTCTGGAAGGGGGCAGGTGGCCAGTAAACTGCATTTTAGAAAAGGAATAGTGGGAGATAAATTAAGCCAAGAGCTCTAACTGGCTCTGAACTGCACCCCAATACTTTATCCTTTTGATTGAAATGTTTCTCATCCTGGCATTTTAAATAAAAAGAGTCTCTCAACTTAATGCCAGGAGACAAACCTTGCCCTTTCATTTTTCAAGTTCTTTGCTTAGATAAGGGAGGCCTAGCACCAACAATTTCAGAACATAAAGACACCAAAAGTCAGGCCACCCAAGTAGTTTCTAACACAGAAAAGTACTCCCTTTTTTCTTTCTTTCTTTGATTACAAAAAAGAAAGGGGCAAGGAGATGAAAAGTACTTAGCAAAAGAGGAAAAAAATTAAATAAATAAAGAAAAAAAGAAAAAAACAAGGGAGGGAGGGAGCACTAATAGTCCCTGGCATTCAGATACTTACTACTTGCTTCTGTTTGAGAGGCTTGACACAGAAAGTCCCATCTGTGTGCTGGAATGAAAATATGATGGTCACAACCAGAGTGGGAGCAGAAAGCATTCCATACTCTGCTGTTACTTTTCACAATTTTACATGTTCTTGGACACTCACAGAGTGGAATTACAGAATCTGAATACCATAAGGATCTTATAGTGATCCAGTCCAACCTGTTCGTTTTGGGAAGAGGAGACTGAAGCCTTTGGGGTTGAAAGGTGGCAGAGCTGAAACTTGCCAGAGCACAGCCCCAGTGTGGTGCTCTTTCAACACCACCCCAATTTGGATTATTCTGCTGAGCTCAGGTAGTAGCAAACAAGAGTATCCTCACAGGAAAAAAAGGAATAATCACATCATGAAGTTATTTACCTTTTCGAATGTACCCAGCAGTACATGGCAATGGCCGAAATACTCTGAAAGAAGCAGGCACGGGGGTGAATAAGGACAAACAACTCACCTTCATGCACTAACCCTCCCCGATGCTCACTGTCTGGCAGACCCACGGTCCTGGGCTGTCACCAGCAGGGGCCTGTTGTAAACCCAACACTTCACAGCAGCCCAAGTTGCTGGGAAGCCTGGATATGAGAGGAATAGGACTGCCTGCCTGAGACCCACAGAGAAAGTGCGTTGCTCTGGGCCATAGTTCTGCCAGGACTGTGCCTCAACAGGGCAGTGTGTACACAGGAAAATGGAGATCCTTACCATCGCCTTCATCCACGACAGCATGTACCACCACAGGGTAAACTTCTTGGTCCAGATCAAAGCCGAGCTGCAGCGAAGAAAGGAAAACACAGAATGGCTCAGCAACCATCAGGAAGTGTTGCCCTCATCTCTGTACCTCAAACTTGCAATTACCCAGACTGTGTAACTGAGGGCCCCGTTTTCTTTTAAAAACCTCAGAGTTAAAGCCCTTTAACCTGCAGCTCCTCTTGGAGTGCAGCTTCCTCAGAGTACTCTAGGTTAACAGGCTACACTGGAATGGAAGAATGATATAAGCAGAACTTTTAAGCACATGAAGAGGTCACAAGGCTTAAAGGGCAGCATGGCCTTCAAGCACCTGGGCAGAGCCTAGGTCCTAGGTAGCTCCCAGGCCCTTCTGCAGCTACATAGGGGATCCCAGCAGAGGCAGCTTACCTCCTCTTCAGCCCACTCTGAGGGGTCCACGGTATGGGAGGGCAGGCAAAACTGTTGGCACACCCCTCGCTTATAATGCACAGTCTCTGACTGGAGGCTGTTGTCTTTTGGAATGTAGCTGTGAATAAAGTGAGAAGCAGAGGTAAAGTTAGGATCTAGCCTAGATCCTAATTGTTAGACTTAACAATTCCCTCTGTCTCTTGCCTGTTTTCAATCTCCAACAGGCTCTAGCACAGGACAGAAGGGCCTCTTTTCTAACACATTTCTTTTGCTCTTGCTTGGTAATGTTATTAGATTGATTTATTCAACTCACACATCCATAGGAAGGAAGCTAAACAGGTTTTTAACACTATCCCAAGGTCACTGTACCCAGAAAGCAAATTTGAAGGGAAAAGGTGAGAGTAAGGCTTTGGAAAAGAAAATCTAAATTCGCTGGGTGCCGGTGGCTCATGACTGTAATCCTAGCTACTTAGGAGGCAGAGATCAGGAGGATTGAGGCTCGAGGCCAGCCTGGGCAAATAGTTCATGAGACCCTATATCAAAAAAACCCATCACAAAAAAGGGCTGGGCTGGTGGAGTGGCTCAAGGTGTAGGCCCTGAGTTCAAACCCAGCACTGCAAAAGAGAGGAGAGAGAGAGAGAGAGAATCTAAATTCAAGAACGAGATTCTACTTAGTTGTAGAAAAAAGAATGTTTTCCTCCATAAATGAGCACATAAGGAGGCCTGGGCTCTTTTGTCTGGGAGTGGCTCACCTGGTCTCCTACTCTTACCTGGCAATACCATTCTGGAACTCTTCAGTGGCCTGATAGTAGATGGTGATGGCCACCCGGGCATCCGTGTCAAAGGTGAACTCGACATTGTAGTGGACTTTAGCTTTGCTGGCCTCTTCTCCAGGGCTCTTCACTTCCTCAGCACATCTAGACCACAAAGACAGCATTCTGGGACAGCACATCAGGACTTTAAGATTTACCTTCTTTCTAAAAACTTAATAATATATTGTAGACTTCTCTCTTTGGTCATTAACTTATGTCTACATCTTTATTTTGAATGATCACAGAGTAATTTATTATCATTATTTTTGGTCGTTTAGGTTATTTATGATATTTTACAGTGCTACAATTAATATCCTTGGCAGGTACCAGATTTTTCTTTTTCTTTTTTGCTGGTTACACCCCCCAGCGCTTTTTTGCTTTATTTTTTAGATAGGGTCGCTTCAGATAGTGATCCTTCTATCAGTGGCCTCCTGCATAGTTGGGATCACAGACTTGTACCACCAAACCCAGCTTGTTTGTTGAGATGGGGGTCTCAGTAACTTTTTGCACAAGCTGGCCTTGAACAATGATCCTCCCAATCTCTTCCTCTTGAGTACCTGGGATTATAGCCATGTACCAGGCCTATTTTTTTAATACTTTTATTTTAATTAAGGTTATTAGTCACATAGTTTAAATAGTTTCCATAAGACTCGTTAAAAACCAGCAGGCCTTCCTCTTTCCCTCTCCTCCTCTTCAAAGGTGGCTGAGCATTTGCTTCTAAATAGCATGCTTGGGTCACTGCTTCTTAGTTTTCCAGTTTTAGGCATAATCTATTGATTTCATATAAGTGAGAGTCTCTGTCTCTTTTTTCACTCTGCCCCTCAAAGGAGCTCCACAATCCCAAAGTCCACAATGTAGGGCTGTCATGCTTTTTTTTTTTTTTTTTTTTTGGTGATACTGGTGTTTGAACTCTGGGCCTTGCACTTGCTAGACAGGCACTCTACCACTTGAGCCATGCCTCCAGTCCTTTTTTGCTTTAGTTATTTTTCAAAGAAGGTCTTGTATTTATACCTGGGCTGGCCTTAAACTTCTATCCTCCCAATGTCCACTTCCCAAGTAGCTATGATTACAGGCACAATCCACTACACCTGGCTTCACGATTTTATTAGCACAGCATGTTAGTATCTGTACTGCTGTGATTATATAAGCACTATTCTGGGTTGAGCTACAGAGTAACCTATGGTTGTTTTCTTTTTCCTGCCTAACTTTTTCGTGTAGTCAGTGCTCATCTTGGCCCTTTTAGTTGCTTGGTTTTCAGTGTACTCATCCTAAATTCCAAGTCGTACACTCTGCCGGCTTTTGAATCTCCTGAGATTCAAAAATGTTCAGATGCATCAGGGAGTCCACATAGCTCATCTTTTTCTTCTTTTTGTTCTTTTGAGACAGGCTCTTGCTGTGGAACTCAAGCTGGCCTTAAACTATTGATTCTTCTGTCCTTGCCTCCCAAGTGTTGGGATTTCATGCACGTACTGTCACCCTCTGCCAGCTTGGCTTCTTGAGATCTCTTCTGAAGTCCTCTATCTTGCTCCCATCTGGACCCAGGCCCTCTGCACCTGGCACACAGATGTTGTCCTTACTGTCTCCCATCATCCCGGGGCTCCCTTTGCCTCCGCCCCACAGAAGCTCATGATTCTTGCATGTCACAGCTTCCTCTTTCTCTTGCTGAAGCACATCTTTCTAGTGTCCTGGAAGAGGGTGTGTTGAGGATCTTCCAAAAGTCTAAAGTGGGCTCCAATCACTGATCTCTCCTCTTCTGAAAGCTTGCAGAAGCCCCTCTTTGCCATCTGTGGTGCTGGGCACTTGCTGGTCCTGTCCATTTGGAAGTGTGTGCCCACTGGTCTGGGATATGTTCTTAAATTGTGTATGTCATTGAAGATGTCCTTCTTTCTATAATCACTGTTCTCTCTAGAATCATTAGCTAGTTATTACACCTTCTAAACTGTATCTTTTCTACCTCTCTACCTTTTTGTTCTACTTTCTAGACTATTTCAACTTTTCTTCCTACTGTTGTCTTGAACTTTTCATTTCTGTTACTGTTTTTAATTTCTAAGAGTCCTTTTGTGCTTCCTAAATGCTCTGTGCCATTGTCCATAAAGAAGCAGCTCTTCTGTCTCTGGGGCTAATGTTTTCTTCTTCCTGTGTACATTTTGCTTCAGTTAGTGGCCGTTTTACTGTTGGCTTATTCTGCCACTGTCTTTTATTTTGCAGGCATGCCTTGGACATCCAAGAATCCTGGGTACCTGCTCGTATTTAAGAAATTTAAAACTGACAATTAGAACTAAGAACAAAAAGGATTTTGGGATCCTAGGCTTCTTTCTTTGAGGGTTATCTGGGTCTGTTGAGGAGCCTCCCAATCCATTTTCTCAGGTTTTCCACTCAGGTGGGTCTGATTCCCAAAGGCCAGTTTTCCCTCTCCTGACAGGGGCCTGGCTACTGGTGTTCTGCAGGCAGAGTGTGGTGGGGTGGAGGGCTCACCATCCAGCATGCCTAACTTGACCTCACTCCATTTCTGGTGCAGAGTTTGGCCTCAGCTGTGCCTGGCTCCCCAAGTCCAGAGGGTCTCTGTTGAGTGAAGGTCTTCTGCTGACAGACCTTCACCACGGTATGGGAAGGGCAACTCTGGCCATGCTGGCAAGGGAGGGCTTTTAGACAGAATTTTACCAGTCCTTTTCATTCCAGCCTTCTACCTCAACTTCCAGAGGCACATGGTCCCACCAAGCCCTGACACATGTTGGGGGCTAGCACAGTGCAAAGGGATGACACTCAGCTTTCCCTGGGGTTGCCTCAGGGTTCTAAGTTATTTGACATTCACCACCTTTTTCTAGCTTTTAAAACTGTGTTGCTGTTGCTCCTTTTCCATTCTCCCTATCCTGTGACCTGTGCCTTTTATGGACATGTTTATTATTATTCAGTGGCTTTGGAGTAGCAGCAAAAGTAGATGGTTAATCCTCCATTGTTACCTGGAAACCTGAGAATCAGACTTTATTCCAATAATCTCAGAAAAACAAAGCATGAGCTGAGGCATAGCTCAGTGGTAGAGCACTTGCTTAGCCGGCTCAAGGCTCTTGATCCCTATCACCTAAAAAAAAAAGGAAAAGAGAAAACCATCTTTCACCCTAATGTTTATAAAATACCAGCCACTTTCCCTTTGACATATCATTTGGTTTTGACAAGCACCATGAAAGAGGTGATGCCACTATTTCACAGATGAGAAGCCTGAAGCTAGACTCACTGCAGCAAGTGCCCAGGGAGGTGGGAGGCACAGTGGACTTTTGCTTCCAGGCAAGTTCTAGTGTAGCTGTGAGGGACCAGGACCTTATAATGACTCAGGCCCTTGAACCTGTCTCCATAAAATGTGTGAACAGGCCATTTATCATGGGAGAAATCAAGTGACCTGAGTAACTGACAGCTGGCAGGCATTCCAGGCCCAGCCCAGTTCAGGCTACTCTGATCATAGGAACCCCACTGGGGTGACCATTCTGCAGCAGAGAAAGGTTCCTTGACTCCCTTGTCTCCAGAGTTGGCACCAGGGGTAGAGAGAAGCATGACTGTGGAAGCAGCAGAAAAATTCAGGACAAATAAAATATCAAATATGCAAAATTTTTGATATAAATATATTAATAAACAGCTCAGTGCAGTGGCTCAGGCCTGTAATCCCAGCTACTTGGGAGGCAGAGATCTGAAGGATGGAGGTCAAGGCCATCCTTGGAAGAAGGTTAGTGAGACCCTGTCTCAAAAATAAACCTGGTGTGCTAGCAAGCACCTGTGATCCTAGCTTCAAGAGAACCATAGTAAGAAGTATATGAATCATATGTCAATAAAGCTGTTATACTAAAAATTATCAGAATGAATTTCCTAATGCTAGTAAGGTAGACCTATAACAAGCATGAAACAGACACTGAGCCATCTTCCTTGTCTTTTCAGAAAAATCTGGGATCTCTGATTTGCCCTAACCAAATCTGTCCTCCCAGGGAACCAAAGAGCCATAATGGACATATTGTTGGGGGAGGGGAGCATCATCAGATTAAAAATCACACAACTTCAGGAAGGCAAAAAGAAGGCAAATGTTGCTAATAATTAACAGTGATGAAGATTAACCAGCCTAGGGCATGACGAGTTCCTCAGAGGAAGTTAGGAATAAAAAGAAAATATAAACAGTAAAATAGGGATTTTATATTCCAAGTTTAAACATCTCATGATTACATAAGCTTGTTAGGGTATCTATAAAAGTCTTCTTTTTGCTCAAAAATCCTTCCTTTAAAAAAAAAAATCCACAAAATAGGGATAATATTTACCACCTCTAAGAGAGTGAAGCCCTTCCCACACAGGTTAGTGCTGAGTTCTGAAAAAATCAGGTGCAGAGAAACATAATCTAAGCAGGTGTAGTGCCCCAGCAGTTCTCTGGCAGCTGAGGCCCAGACAGCAGGCATGGCCTGGCAGAAGCTGCTCTGTGAGTCCCATGGGAAGTCTAATGTCCTGCAAGTAGGAGGGCAGCTAGGACCTAGCCCTGGGGAACTTACTTGACAAGCCTTAGCGTGTCCTTTCGGATGTTGATCAGGCTTCTCAGAGTCTTCACAGGCTCTTGGGGAGGTGGAGCAGCATATGGAAACTGTCAGAAACAAAGTGGGAGAAGGTAGTATATTTATAAAGACCATAACTGTCTCTCCTTTGCTGGAACAGGGCTTAATGGTTGAGTAGGACCAGCCCTGCAAGGTGAGATGAGAAGGGGCTACTCTCCTAAGAAGTTAGGAGACCAAGACTCCAACAAGGTATTGAATCAATTTGCTCAAGGTCACAGCTAGTGGGAAACTGGTATCAACAGAGCAAGATTTATCTCCTTTTTTCCATTACAAAAAGCTTATTTGGGTCAATGTTCAAACCTTGGAGAACTAATCAAAAACTACTGAAGTTCCAAACACCAAAGGACACACTGGCTGAGTTAATCGCAAAAGACCTTCCAACTGACCTTACATGGCAGGGAGGCAGACCTGCAAGCCCTTTCCTTCATGGAACCACACGGTATGCTAGGAATTTAGGGACTACAAATAGAAGAGAGCCCCACCATGTGTACAGAGCCAAGGCTGGTCATATGAAGCACAGTTCAGTATTGTGGGAACCGAGAATACTGGCTTTGCATTGTCTTCATTTGCCACCCATTCTCTAACCCTTTCCCATTTGACCTTTGGATTCAGAGATCAGAGTGGATGATAATGAGAAGTTAAAGAAAGAGGAAATAGTAAAAAATGTCATTGGAAATCATATAAGAATTATTTAAAATGTCTCCAGTATTCTTATAATGTTATTAGGGCAATATAATTTTTTTGCTGTTGTTTTGAGACAGGGTCTCACTATGCAGTCTAGGCTACATAGGATCGAACTTCCAATCCTCCTGCCCCAGCCTCAAGTGCTGGAATTACAGATGTGTGCCACCCCTCCCAGTGCACATTAATTTAAAAATATATACAATCGTGTGTCCTTTAATGATGGGAATGTGTCCTGACACTATGTCGCTAGGCAATTTTGTCACTGTGGGAACATCACATTTGCACAAACTAGGTGATCTCGTCTTATAAGACCACTGTCCATATGAGCCATGTCTTTGACTGAAATGTCATTATACTGAGCATGACCGTAGTTCACAAACCCACTAGTCTTTGTAGCTTTCCAAACCTGATTTTCCTTGCTCAAGGGTCTACCTCTATAGTGCTGGAATCAGAAAACAGGACACCTTGTTACAGTCTAATTGCCCCTTCATAGACACTGACTGAACGTGGTTATTTTACTGGAGGAGCATACTGTAATGCGTAATGTGGCTTACTTGGCTCTAGGTATTCAGTGTAAGCGTGTAAATATGACCCATAAGAAAGCACATTCTACTTAAACTACTTGCATTCAGGTTATCCACACTGTGAGCATTATATAGTAAAATTTACTTTTTCTGTTTTTTTTTTTTTTGGACAAAGGGTCTCACTATGTAGCCCAGGCTGGCCTCAAATTCTCAATTCTCCTGCCTCAGCCTCCTGAGAAACTGGTGTGTCACTAAGCCTGGCTTGCAAAATTTTACTTTTTCATTGATACATTAAACATATACTCTTCGGCTGAGCATTGTGGCTCATGCCTGTAATCCCAGCTACTCCAGAAGCAGAGATCGAGGTTCAAGGCCAGTCTAGGCAAAAAGTTAGCAAGAACCCACCTCAACAACAACAAAAAGCCCCAGGCATGGTGATTCATGTCTATAATCCCAGCTACACAGGAGGCATAGGTAGGAAGAGGACTGAAGTCTTAGATCAGCCAGGGTGGGTGTAGGGGGAGAAAAACCCTATCTGAAAAATAACCTGAAGCAAAAAAGTCTGGAGTTGAGGGTCAAATGGTAGAGCTCTTGCCTAGAAAGGGCAAGGCTCTGAGTTCAAGCCTCAATATTGTCAAAAAAACAAAAGAAATATTCTTTAAAAAAATGATAGCTGCTTTTTGTGATGACAAAGCATTACATGCTCAAGCAGGAAAACTGAAAAATGCAAAAAAATACAAAGTCAGGCCAGGTACCGGCAGCTCATGTCTGTGATCCTAGCTACTCAGGAGGCAGAGTACTCAGGAGGATCATGCTTTGAGGCCAGTCCAGGCAAAACACAAGACCCTATCTCAGAAATACCCAATACAAAAAAGGGCTTAAGTGATAGAGTGCCTGCCTAGCAAGCATGAAGCCGTAAGTTCAAACCCCAGTACTGCCAAAAAAAGTCCCAAATCAGTCATAACTTCACCATTCAGTGATACCAAAGTTAACACTGCAGAATGTGGTTTTCCAGAAAGCAAAAATTCCCTCTGCCCCTTGTTCCCTTTTCCCTTCCTCTCCGTATCTGGCACTGCTTTGCACTGTACCTACTACCATACAGTCTCTTGTTCACTTGGAAAGATCTGGTAAACTCCATAATTTTGACAACATGTAGAACATGTTTAATCAATTCCATATTATTCGACGTTTTAAGTTGGCTTGCTTTTTTTGCTGATATGAAAGTTGTGGTAAATATCCTTGTCCCTACATTTTGCATGCTTATTTGATTATTTCCTTGGGACAAATTCCTAGAAGTGGAATTACTGGATCAAAGAGTAAGCATATTTTTAAGACTTTAAGAAACATTTTGCCAAATTGTGCACAAATCCACCTTGAGCACAGCTCTGAGTGGTGGTGTAACAGAAGCCTTTGATATAGGAAAACTGAAATTCTAGCCCAGATCCCGTCTGTGGCGCATTTCTCTTCTGCCTGCTTCCTAGGCTGCCATAATAAAGGAATTTAAAACAATTTTACAGTAAGCTTTAGCAAAAAGTAATTAGGCAGGAAAATCCGACATAAATGCTAGCCTACTCTAAAGCCAAAATAAATGACTTTGGGATTAAATTTTTTCTTCTGGAGTAGCAAAATTAATCACTTCATTTGTGCAGGTACTCAGGAATTATCCATAACTCCTACCTGAATTAGAAGAAAAAAGTTGAGTTTTTTCCCTTCATATTTAAACAACTTTACAGTCATATTGTGACATTTACAAAGTGCTCACCGCGTATCTTAGTTAAATCCATGCCTCCATCATTCTCCTTTTCCTCCCTCCCCATCCTTAGAGCAGGTTCAACAGGTCTCCTCCTTCCACTTCTCTCGTTCGTCACTCTTTCTCCCCCAGAACCCTCACGAAAGAAAAGCAGAGGAAAGGAAAGGCCCTAGCACTCTGACCCCTGTTCTGAATATTCATTTGATAACTACGGCAATGAAACACAAGTTGTTCAAGGAAAAGGATCCAGGGATCAACTTAACAAACACATCTCTACACTGCAGGTTCTCACAACAAAAGAGAAGAAAACAACTGAAAATCTGTTCAGCAGAACCTCATCTTATCCATGGATTCCTACCTACCACTGCTGTCTTGCTGGCCTTTCACTTACACCCCAGAGTCCACATGCAACATTCATTGCAAGGTTTAAGGAGAAGATTCACAGCAGAAAAGATAAGGCCCTGGTTTCAGGAAGCTGTATTTAAAGGTAGATGACATAGCTACAAATAACTGCAGTATCAGAGAGTGAGAGAAATGCCAGCAAAAAGACAAAAATGAAGGAAGCAATCACTTCTGGCTGAGGCAACCTGGAAGACTTCAGGGAGGAAGTACTATTCTTGAAAGATAAATGTAATTTGTAGCAGAGGTGAAAGCGAAGATAGAGGGAACACAAGGAATCAGAGGCGACGTGAAGAAAATATTATTCTGCCCTTCGAGTTGTCTCCCCTCCTCTGTAAATCAGTCTAGCCTACCATTTCTCTTAGCTTCTTGTCCTCTTCCTTTTAAACATTAGCGGGCTGGGAGACAGCTCAGTGGTACAGCGCTTGCTTGCATGTGTGAGGCCCTCAGGTCCAGCCCTAGCACTGAGGGGAAAAAAAAAAAGCCATTTATTGAGTTCTTACTATGTGTCAGGCACTGTGCTAAACATTTCCACACATTATCTTATTTAATCTTTGGAACAATCCTGTGAGATAGAAATTGTTGTTCCCATTTTTGCTGATAAGAAAACAGGCAATAAAGAGGTTTAGAAACTTCCCCAAAGCCCCCCAGGGTTCAGGGAGCAAAGCTGAGGCTTGAACACTCTCCCTCCATCTTTCTCCAAGACTAGGAGACAAGGTGTCCAGATATTAAAGTGCTGATTATTAAAAGATCTGAGCCTGGCACGGTGGCTCCATGCCTGTAATCCTAGCCACTTGGGAGGCTGAGATCAGGAGGACTGCAGTTCAAGGCCAGAAAATAGATCTTGAGACCCTCTTCTCCAAAATAACCAGAGCAAAATGGGCTGGAGGTATGGCTCAAATGGTACAGTGCAAAGCCATGAGTTCAAGCCCCAGTCCCGTCAAAAAAAAAAAGAAAAGATTTGAAAAACACACACTTCTTGATTTGCTCATTCCTTTTTCCTATCAAAACACTAGTGATGAAGTGAGGAGTCATTCAAGTGGTAGAACAACTACCTAGCAAGTGTAAGGTCCTGAGTTCAAAATCCAGTACCAACAACAACAACAAAAAAAATACTGGTGAACTTTTTTGCTTGCCTACAATATTTCCTTAATAGAGGCACATTATTTAGTTATGTTTAAGAAAAAAAGAAGTATTTTATTTCAATTTAAAACCACAGGTGTTCTCAGTATACTAACAGGTCAGTGTGAAAGGAAAGCGAGTGAATGTGCTCTTGGGGCCACAGATGACAAAGTCAGACCAGACTCAGAGTCCTCGTCTGAGTAACCACTACCTAGTCCACTGCATGCAGCACTAAAACTCTTTCCTCAGCCTCTTCTTTCCTTTCTGTGGTGCTGGGGATGGAATCCAGGGACTCATGCATGCTAGGCAAGGGCTCTGCCATGGAGCCACACCCCAGATAATGTCTATTTTCTTTGTGAGGGTCTTAAAAGTGTCATTTTCTCAGCCCTAAATCCACTGAGTTAGGGAATGAATGGTGACAAGGAAGAGGCACTGGGCCATTAGATAGGGAGAAGTGGCCTCTCTGTCCTGCACACAACGTGTTCCAGTCTCTGACCTCTTGCCTCAAGCTCCATAGGGGCAGGGGTTTATGGAATGCCTTCCCGTTCCT